ATTCCATTTGTCCATGAAATGCATTCCTGAATGCCAGCCGTGGAATCCTACTGGGCAATGACCTCACCTTTCCCTGTTGTTTGAGGTGCTCCAGTGTAACAAAAATCAAATTAAACACCAAAAGTTTGAACATTACAGCAGGGAACAGCACTGGACTCAGTCACATTCCATCATGTGGCCAGATTTATGAGATCAAATCATGATTTCTGTGCCTTTGTGCAGATATTACATAGATCCACTCCCAAAGATTAAAATTGTAATATTCAATGTGTAATATTTAAAAGCTCACTGAAGTAGGTTTCTCCAAGAACACTTGTTATTGTGAATTATAAACATCGTTGGTTCCTGAGGCCTTTTATTAGAAACCACTAGATTTTTCTATGGCAGTAAGGGGATAGTGATTACTTTGTATATATAGGAACACATATCTTAGGCCAATTATGACAGGACTTGCTTGTAACTATGCAAATTTGAGACTGTAGCTAATCTTAACTGTAAAAAGTAATCTTTCTCCTGCTAGCAAAAGTGAGCAGCTGTCCCAGTGTAAATATATTGCGTTCCAATCAGCTGGAGATCAGTGTTCACTGCTGTAGCTCAGAGTATCCAGCTCAATGTGCTTTATGTGCCCTGGGGTAGCTGTAGCAGCTGCTGAGCATCAACTCATATTCCATGGACATGCAGAGGAAACACCATTTTGTGGGGTTTTTTTAGTCTTATTTTTTGTTTAGTTAAGATTTCTGTTCAGACTAACACCAGAGTAGCCATTTGCTACTGCTATTTTGTGTCATGATTTTGTATAGTGACTTTTTCCATCTGTCCCTTTCTATATCCTAACTGCTTGACTAAATATTGGTTTTCTTTTGGAGAAAATGAGAACTCAAACATTACCTAAACTGTAATGCATGTATGTTTTACACAGAACTACAGCATACCTACAGATACAGATACAATCTGTAGCTAGATTGTGTAAACATTTGGCAAAAAACATTTTAATTCATATTATTAACTCCCAAAATTGTTAACTTGATGAAATAGCTTCACATACATAAGAAAGTCTCACTTTCTCAATCAATATACCAAAAGCAGTATTTCCAGCTCGATAGGGCAGGTGTGTGTTTTGAAGTTACTGCAGCTGCAAGTATTGTACTACAACTGACCTCTCAAAGACTGCAGGGGTCCCAAAGGGAGAGTGATATATCTTTTTAACCTCTTAAATTTAAGTTTCTAACAAGCATTCTACCTCCACCTCATTTTGGAGACAGTGGCTCAGACAGGTGGTTATTATAGAAAACTACATAGCAAAATGGAAGGTAAAAATCAGGTGAATGATATCAGTCCAAGAACGCGCCTCCCTGTTACTCTTCAATTTCTGGAAATAATCTTTCCCACACATGACAGCCATGGATGCAGAGCTGGATATTCCCCCTATTTAATGCAAATTGTGCATCATCACATACGCCTTCAGAGTACCTGCAGTAACAAGTTACTGCAGAACTTTAAATCATGTTTTGAACATGTCTTTATTACTGAAAAAAATGCAATGTTAAAAATAAGTAAAAATCTTCATTGAAGATCCACTTTACAGAAGATTTTAGTACCTATTTGCTATTTTTATGGTAGCAAAGCATAACAGTTAAAAGGCCACTTTAGATTACGTCTAGAAAAGTCATTGAATGCTTCAAAATGTATAATTACTTTAAAATGTATGAGAATTCTTCATTTGTGAATCTATGCTATAAATTTTGCAGTTAACAATGCTCCTTAGCAATATGCAAGACAGTGCAAATGAACATTAAAACAGTTGACATAATTTTACATACATTTAAGGATTATCCTATCGCAGGATACAAACATCCCTCCTTCATAATAAGATAAATTCACATTTCATAAAATATTCTAAGTGCTTTGAAAATGCTTATCAAAGGTGACATATTCTGCATTACTAAGAGGGTGAGGTCTTCCACTGAAAAATGCCAACACTGGGTTATTAATTTATACATTGTTGATAGTTTCCATTTTCATATTAATTAATTGGTTGGACTCAATGATCTTCTTATTCTGTTTCATGGTCTAATAATTTGGCCAACATGGCAACTGCTTTGGTAAATGAAATGAGTATTGAAACAATTAACTCTTGAGTTTTTGTCTTAATCAGGGGTTCTTAAGTCCAACAAACCCAAGTCAGATCACTACAGAAGGAATTTCTTCTAAGGATAGAATCAAATGGAGTGCCAAGAAAATCATTCAGAGTTCCTACTGTAAGTAGACAATGCAAACATCTCCATGTTTCATGGTCCTTCTGTGAGACTTCAGATTTGCAAACCTGCAAGATTACCTTTTAAAAGGCATGAAGTTAGCTCTTTTTTCAGCTTTTTGAGTTTGCTTCTAGGTTTGTCTCATCACAGGGAATTCATTCTACAGCCTGTTCTCCTCCCACCTAGAAGTGACTTGAGGATTACATAGAGGAAGTTAAAAAAGATATTTTGCATCATTTAATTACGAGCCCTTTAACTATCTGAGTAATGTTGATGGAGTCCAGAAAAATGTGTCTTGTCTGCCTTAGGCAGCATAAAATGGGAACATGCTTGATCTCAGAGGGGAAAAAAGGCACATGGAGAGATTGGAACAGGGAACTTGCACTTGACAAATGACCCAAGCATGAGAAAATTAACTGGCAAAATATTAACACTTCATCTTCTGAGAAGCTTGGCATTATCAGAAAAGAAGGATTCACTGTACCTTTTTAAAAACCACCCAATCAAACAAAAAAAAAACCCAACCAAACAACAAAGGAAAAAAACCCATTGTCAAAGCCTATTTCCCTTCTGAGCTAATCAGGCTCCAGTTATTTAAATCACTGTTCTTCCCAGAAGTTGTATTCTGGTGCAACAGGGGTGTATCATTAAGTGTCCCTCCACTGGAAGAAGCAAATCACAGTTCTCTGTTTCTCCAGTTTCCATCTCTGAATTTCCACTGTTTTTCTTGATGTTACTCCCCTTTTATAATCATGGCAGTTACAAAAGTAAGGCCCCTGTGTGTAACCCCCAGCCCAACCCCTTGGTGAGTCAGAACAACAATGACTTGTGAAGGCTGTCCGATTTCAGGGGAAGGACTACGTGGTTTTTACAAATATAGGGGCCGATCCTGTTCCCACTGAAGTCTATAGGAGTTCAGCTTATGAACTGGAAACTTCTCTCAGTCTTAGCTGTATTCAGATTCTGTAGCTGTCCAGCTCCTTGGCTATTCCTTCCAAGTCTATAGCTCCAGAGGTGGAAATTCTCCTATCTTCTAGTGTATATGCAGACAAGTGAGGGGGTCTGATCCCACCAAATGATGTTTGGTGGGTGTTGACTAATTTGCAGATCTACTCTTTTGGGGGAGGGTTGGGGTTTTTTTGCTAATATCTTGACTTCCACCTTGGGAGGAGTCAGATGAAACATATAAATTGTGAGACAGAAGCATGACTTGGTTAGGATGAACAGAATACGTCAGCTGAGGTAGAGCTAGGCACCCACAGAGCAGTCAGCCAGGGAAACTGCTGCTTTCCAGCTAAAAAGCATGACAAGCCTCTCTCTGCTAATAAGACAGGGAGCACAATCAGGCAAGTGGAGTAAGTGCTGTTTACTCAAAATCTCTGTTCCCTAGTACTACATCAAGCTCCTACTCTGAGTCTATTGATAGATGTCATATACAAAAGTCCATCTCCTTCAGATAGGACAAAGAAATGGAGAATGAACCAAAGGAGCACTGCCCTGTTTTCTGTTGCACCAAACTAAGGGCATTAGATTCAAAGACTTCTGTTCAATTACCTTGACATGTAACCACTGAGGCTTCTAGTCTTGGCATTCCTGTGCCAGTTTTGCAGAAAAGATGCCTCCCTGTCTTCAACAGAATGGAAAGACAAAAGCAGCTTTGCTCATAGAATGTCTCCTAGAATGGCAGAATCATATTTCAGGAATATTAAATCATTCTGCATTTCCATCACAAGTCTTAGGATTTCTAAATTCAAACAATTTAGAATTTAGATCACAAACTACCCTCTAAATAGTGATTTGATGAAACACAGGAACCCTGTGGAAGGCTGTGTTTTTCTTAAAATATGACAGAAGGAATATTTATTTTGAGTACAAAATTGTTTCATTAAAAAAAAAAAGCATGGCTTTGTAGAGATTTTTTCAGAAGTAAGATTCATGAGGAAGCATCAGTGTCTTTAAAGCCCTGTTTAAATCTCAGGTCAACATTATACTTGTATTTTGTTGCAGCAAACATGACACACATCACAAATAATTCCATTCCATTAAGTAAAAACTCTCCTAGACTAAAATGAACTTACTTCATATCGAGCTGGAGCTTTTCACTGTACATGCAAACATGTAGGAAAATATAAAATTCAGATTGTAACTTAGCTAGGGAAAATTATGACTTTTTAAGGATTAAGAAAACTAGAGAGAGAGAGAGAAACCACAAGTCTTTGATTTCTACAGTTGACATGTCAAAACAAACCTATAAAAGAAAGTATCAGGACAAAGACTGCTTGGGTAATGTACACCAACAAAGTGAAGTCTGTCCATAAAGAAGTCAACCAACTGTGCCTGCAGCCTGTGACACAAGCACGCTGGATGCTCTAATGTTCAAGACACTCTACAGAACCAAGACTTAGGTGGCGTGTGTTTTCCACTGATCTTCTAAGTGCTCTGGCACAGGAAAACCTTATTTGTAAAGTAAGTGAAAAGATTAATCACTGCTTTTTCATGTCTCTCCCACATACCCTTCTATGGATAAAGCTTAAAAAAAAATTCAGTAACTGAAAAAACTAAAATGTGACAAGTACATTACAGTTTGAGATATATGTCAGGCAAATGATTTTTCAGGTACTCTTCTGGCATTACCTGCATATCCACAGAGTTCATAAAACAACTAAATGATGATTTATGCATGGTAACTTCCTAGGCAGTAATTGTTATGCCAAGAAAAACTTATTTACTGATTGCAGGCACCCATACAATAACAGACGGATTTTTTTATTCATGAACCAATCAATCAGTGTGAAGCACAGATGGTGAATGGTGAAAACAGAAAATACAAGGTTCATTTTTCCTTCATTTCTAAAGAGAATGTCTAAGCTATATTGTTGTCACTGAGAAGTGGGTCTCTGCTGTGAAATGTAGAACAAAATAATGTGGGTTGACCTAGAAACTGTACAGTTTCTGTGGTTACAGAGGTAAAATCACGCTGCACAGGCAACAAAACATAAATTTCTATGGTACATTTGTAACTTGGCTCATGTATTTGTCTTTCGAATCACAGAGAATTCAAGAAATGTCAAGATATTAATTCTGAAAATCAGATCAGCAACAAAAAAAAAAAGAAAATTGCCCTAAACCTGTAGCACTATTTCAGTACTCAAAAGCTGTACTTAAATCTGTGGGAACTACAATGAACTTGTAAAGACTAAACACCACATCAACATTCCCAGCACCAGCTCAGGAACTTCACAACTATTCCATTGTTTTATTTATGAATATTACAGCTCAAGCTTGCTCAAGTTCCACAAGGACTCCATGGCAATCTTTAGGGTGAAGAAAAATCACAGGTTTGCCATGTGCACCTATTTTTGGCTCTTCACTCAATATTCGTATCTGTTTTTTCTTCAGTTCTGTCATAGCCGCTTTTATGTCATCAACCTTATAAAAAAATACAGTTCACACAAATTAATATATGACACTGTATTATGCAGACTTCATGCTTTAGTAATTCCTTACTAAAATGTTATTTCTAAATTCTAATATAATTCTGAAAATAAATTAAATTATAAAACCACTTAAAACATCTAGTCTTAAAAATAAAAATAATACAGAAGTTATTTGAACATTTTACAAAATATTGTTTAAATAGATTGCTATATTTAAGATATTAATAAACTAAAATCACTCATGCACAAAGCCCATTGATTACTTTATAAGGATTCCATAAATAACCTAAACTCTGCATTACTATTACTAGGAAGATCATATTGCTTTCAAACTATCCGTAACTAAAGAAAAATGCCTCCCTTTCTAATTGATGGCAGAACACTGACTCGTTAGATGCTGGTGAAAAGGCAGAGCAATGGGCAGAAGGGAAAAGGAAAGGCCCTTTTAGATTTATATATCCTCCTTCTGAGTAGGTTAAGGTTCATAAAATTTCCTAAGGAAAAAAGCTTGGAAATATCACAAATATACCCAGAATAAGACCTGGTCTTTCTATTGAACTTAACTATAATAGTAGCCATTAATATTTCAGTACAGTTTCCTACAGAAATACATAATTAACAAAAACATGCCTACGCTGCGTAGTGTGATCTGAAGTCTGATGTCATGAAATTTGAATTTTCTGAAACCTTAAATGCATTCATTTTTTTAAATAATAAAGTTAGCACTCATTATAGCAAATCCAATAATCAATAATCAATAAAGACCTAGAACTAAAATAACAGCATTGCTATTTTTCAAGACTGGAGTGTCTGGACATAATTTGGCGAATAAACTCTCATGATGCCATTGCAGGGAAGAAGGAAATACCGGGCTTTAATTCAGAGCAACAGGCATCACCTAATTCCTACTCATTTGCAGCAGTTTTGTTCACGTATATTCTACACTCACTTCAGTTCTTCCCACACACAACTACCAGTCTGCTAAAAGCAAAGAGAAAATGGCTGTCTTACTCTACTAAGTGTCCAGCATGCTTTTCACTGCAGGTATTCAATTCAATTATGACTGGTCAGGAGTAATTTAATTTCTTCTTAAAGTATTTATCTCGTATGAAACAAGTTCCCTATCAAAACATCTATCTAAATTTTCCTTTGTACAAGATGGAAGAAATTAAGAGTGTTTTGATAAACTTGTTAGGCTTCCTCTTCAGTATGGAAAGGATTTTTTCAATTCAGCTTTTTGCAATAAAACTGTTCACAGAACAATATTTCTACAAAATATTTTTTTAAATTTCAAATGAACAATCAATTGACTCTGACATTCTTTAATAGTTTTTATTAAAACCATTTCTGCTCAACTTGGAAGACTACTTACCTTTGAAATTGTAAGATTTTCCATTCTGAGAATGGGAAATTGGAGGAGGGAGGTTAACATCTTTATGACTGACAATGGTAGGGACCAGATTTGTTTTTCAGTCCCACTTAAATACCAGTTTAACGATGGATAGCTTTTTTCTCTGCATAAATTAGTCTGTAATTTTCCATTTATTTTTATGTGGAGACAAACATGACTGACTTAGGACAATCTTTTTCTTTATTTCTTAATTTTTAAACATTATTATTATTTTTGTGTAGAGATTATATTAATGAGTCACAAGACTTCATTTAGGAAAATCTGATTGCACTAGTTTACCCGATTCATTGAAACTATCTGTTAGATTATGACTCCTGGCTTGCTTGACCTACTGTACAGAGTTATAAATTTTCTTTTTTAACAGAAGATTCTACATTGTCCAACATAATGCCCTTCCAGTTATTTTGTCAAAAGGAAAAAAAAAAGGAAAACTGTAAATGTAGCAAGCTGTGTTTGCAATGCTTATTGTCTCCTGTCTCCTCTGAGGCTGGTTGTGTCGCTTGTCACTGTTTGAAATGGGTGCTAGGCGCTTCTTGAGAGGGTTGCCACACTTGATGTTAAATGCCTCAGTGGCTTCTTCTAAAGTTTCCAGTACAGGTAACACATAAATTACTTTTTTGTCCCATTCTTCTCAATTTTCATAATCAAATTGAGAAGTAAATGACTTCCCTTGACAACCATCTGGTTCATCTGCAACAAGATCATATCTCATACAAAATGGAGATCTACATAGAACAATTTCAGCTGCTAACACATATTTAAAACTTCTTAAACAGTATTACATATACTTGAAACCCTTGGGAGCTTTGAGCTCTTTTTGCTGAGAAATGCCTACAATTTCTTTCTCTTGTACCTGTAAGTGAGAACCACTGGTCTTACAGAGGGCTGGAGGTTTTTTTCATTCTTACTGCAAATTGTTTCTTTCTTCTACATTCCCATCTCCTAACAATTAGGGTCAATTTAAACAGAATTAATTTTCTTGATCATGGGCAATTAAGCAAACTCAATGCAAGAAAAGTTGCAATGTCTATGTGTATGCAAAATTTCTCAATTCCCAATGAGAGCACACAACTGCAAACACTGGTCTTTATAGATGTATTGTGAAAACAATTTTTACTCACATCAGTAATCCCATTACTTTTTAATATTACACTTTGCAGAATTACAGCTGGAAATAATAGTTTGCAAGACTCAGCTCTGTAAAATATTTAAAACATATAGGCAGCAGCATAAAATTTTGCATCAAATAGGTACACTAAGTCATGAGCACAGTAAATGAGTACCCAGTACCTTTACATCTCTTGAGCACACTAAATAAGTACTTTACCCAGCACCTTTACATCTCTTCCAGATCAATCTCTCTTTGCTGGGCAGGGCAGAACAGGACAGAAGGCACTCTGGAGGCTTTACTCTGTTTGGTAAACACAACTGACAAGCTCTTTTGACTTCTGTATATAATTATCAACTAAATATCAAACAGGAAGAAACTTTCTAAAATCTAAGTTATGCCTTAGCTTAAACCTACAACTCTTCCCACTGTATGTCCTTCTATGTCAGGAAGTTGATACCTATCCAACCCTGTTCAGAAGTCCTTGGGGTTGTCCACCTTCCATAGTGGCTACTTAACCCTTCCTTCCCCAATTTAGTCTTTATAGCACACAAGAGGAAAAAATGATCATTAGTTCATGACACTGAACTGTGATTTCCAAAACTGAAAAAAAGGCATGTTTAAGACTTCTTCTTACGAAATAAAAATTCTCACAGTTATGACAGCCTTATATATTTGTTCTTGACACAGGTCAAACCTATGAAAAAATAAGCACACTTTAATATATCTCATTATGTAATATATTGTGTTAAAATACCTCAATGCAGATATGATGCATTCCTCCAGTCTTGTTTTTTTGCAGAAAACTTGCAATGGGACTTTTCTCTCCTAAAGGATGTAGAAGTTCCAACTTGGCATTTCCCAGCTCCACAAAAACAGTGTACACACCATGTTCAGGAAGAGCAACAGTCTTGCTCACCTGGGCTCCCAACACATCTCTGTACAAGGACTGAGCCTTCTCCAGATCAGGCACTGCAATGGCCACATGGTTAAGTTGGCCCAGTTTCCACAAACAGCTTGGAATGTTCTGTGAAAAGGACTTTGATGATGACAGAGTTCTTACTGTGGGAGCTGATGTCTGCAATCTGGTAAGAAGCCCTGAAAAAGAGTGAATAGCACTCAGACAATGCTTTTGAGGAGGTATCAATACCTGCTCCTTCCCCTTTAAGGGCTACAGGACAGCAATGTCATTTAGCTCAGTGAACATTTTTTTCAGAGACTAAGTAAATATGCAGAAGTATAAAAAAAACCAAAACCCCAAACCAGACTAAAATCTAGTGTAAATCCTTACATATGCCTGTTAAAAAGAGGAATACATGACCAAATGTAACAGTCAACTGTATAATGTGCTCAACAGCACATTCTGAATCTTTTAGAGCTTCTTACAAAATAAGAGAAATTAGGATATGGCTATACATCTTCAGTTATAGCAAACCAAGAAGAAAACCCAGATGAAACCTCGGATAGAACTGATACTGCAAGATCCAAAAGATAAAAGACTTTAGCTCTCAGCTGTCAGGACTAACTCCAGCAAGGAATTAAATGTCATGTTACATCTGAGGCTTAAGGAATCCTAAAATCTCCTGAGTTTGATTTTTTATCTTTCTTCAGTTATTAAGTCACTTGCCCTTCTTACTTTTCACATGCCATACAGGTCTTATACTTTGTTTTACTGATCTATTTTAAGATGCTTAGAAATGTTTCAGTTCTAAGTACTTTGCACAATATCGTGTCCAATGGACCAATAATAATTTAGATTATCTTTAAAGGCCAAAATCATAATAGTTTGCTTAATTTAACTGGTACCACTGATTTCAGTGTGACTTACTGAAGAAAAAGAATATGATCTGGCTCATCATAAATGAAAAGTTAATTATAAAAGAATACTGGATGACCACATGACACAAAGGTTAGGGCCAACAAGTAGAGAAAAGATGGAGAAGTCATGGAGAAGCACAGTGTCATGAAAGAGGGCTTAGATTCTATCTCCAGAACTCTTCAAAGACTGCTCTGACAAGGCAATGCTGATCTTTGCCCTGTGTCACATTGCTGCATTGGTTACAAGTAGTTATAGGGTTGCTTGTTTTATTAAGAAAATCACAAAAAAAAACCCCAACATACGAAACAAGGATACTTACAAACAAATTACATTAAAGATTAATCTGTCAGAGTACTAGAATCTGGAGAGGGTGGGGAGGAATTGTGATCGTATCCGTTTTTTCCAGCACCAGAATTCGAATAAGATGAAAGGATATATTCACAAAAGCTACACTTCAATTCCCTGCCAGTTTGCTTTAGGCCAAGTCAGAGTCCCCAGTGCCTCCAGACCAAGCCAGAGGCACTGCAGCATTTTGGAAGTCTTTGAGGCATTCTTAGCTTTAAATTCACAAATGTGCTACTTTGCTAAGAGATTGTGCCAAGCCTGCCCTGAAATTCTGGATGCCCTGCAATAACCGAGGACAGCCTGCCCTGACTCCTGGTACTCTGGGAGGGCAGTAGTAGCTGTAATAAATCAGTTTATCTTCACTGTATGAAACTTAGAACTACCATTCCATGGGAATTCAAGACTCTACAGCCATCAGTTAATTTTTCTTCCCAAAGACAACTGATGTAATCCTTTAAGCCTTTCTGAGCATTGTGCTGTGAAGGAAGAAGAAATGTTTGTGTGCATTTGACACTTAGAAGTACAACATGCAAAGTACATGTTACCAAGCACTTAGTATCACTAAAGTAAGTCTATTCAGAATCAACATCCTACATTAAAGTATTTCCAGAAACTTGTCCAGTTCTGCAGGTCACTGCCCTGGACTATTTCTTGCCAGACTTTCACAAAGTCCATCCTGTCATCTCCTTCGTCACAGCCAGGAGTTCTGGACAATTCTTCTTCACTTGTTACCTTTAGGCTCTCATACTGGTATAGTACAGCAACTACTTTTCAACTTTTTACGTGTTCAAAAAATCCCCTAGCAACCTCTACACAGAAAAATTCTTGGGTTTGAGATGTCTATGCTGAAACTATTTTGTAGATAGACTTCCCATCTAAATGCATCTGGATGAGGGGTGATCAAAGCAGTTCCCTGAGGAAGCAATACGGTGCAATGCCTATAATGTACAAGATAAGAAACATGCAGTCTCTAGGTGACATGATTAGAAACATGGATAATTAACTAGAGTTTGACCAGATCAAAAGAGTAAATAATGTATTTTAAAAAAGCAAAAAAAACCCCCAACAGTCTTTTGTATCCACCTAAGCTTCTACTGAAGGAGCTCAGTTTCCTACAGTAACTTTTAAAGACCTGATTCAATTCTTGCTGAAGAGAAATTCTTCCACTTGGAGAAGGGCAGTATTCTCCAAATGAGAAAAATCCTTTGAAACAGAAGGATCCCTTACTATACCATTTGTTATGTTTCCCAGAGCCTTTTATTGTTTTATTCTTTCTTCCAAATATGAACAGACCACAGTTCAATAGAAATACTACTGATGCAGGGTTTTTTCCAAGCAATCTTTACTAATAGGAAATACTAAGATTTTTCCCATTCTTTTTTACATCTCCCATCTGTAATTCTTGCTGCACTTCACTCAGGGCATATGACTACATGGTTATTATAGTTTAATTTGTATTTTTTCTATCTTCAAGTAAATTGACAGAGACAGATTGTTACTCAGCTATTACTGAAGCAATAGCAAAAATAGCAACAGAAAATGTTCTTTCTGTTGGGTTCTGCCCAAGAAATATTTGATTTTTGTGGTGTTTCCTGGAAAGACAATAAATTGAAAAAGTGAAGTATATTCCTAGGATTCTTGTAAAGTCAAAAATACTTAAATGCCCAATCATATGGACATTTATTCCATGAAGTCTTGTGAATTTACCCTAGCTCTAGTCAAATGCGTATAGAGCATTAATTTTAAACCCATAATTGAATTGACTGAGATTAAACAAAAAGCATTTGCATTTTTCTTGCATTATCTAGATTAGTAACTATATAGATTACTTAAAATTCTAATCTTCTAATCCAATAATCAGAAAATGACCCTGCAGTGAAAAAACCTTTTCAGCAAACTTCAGATTGAAAACCCATTACTTCCATGTCTCAGGAAAAAACCACTTATATTTACGTATATATCAAACAACTAGTCCTATTAACTGTTGTGGCTAATTTCTTCAATCAGAAAAGCATTTCTCCACTGATTTACAGAATTATTCAAGTAATTATTAAGTTTCTCCAGTGTTAAAAAACATTACTTTCTGTGAGTCTTGTGAAGCCAGCAGACATGACTGAAGCATCCATCCAAGTATCTGTCCTGCCTGAAAAGTCTTCATATGCCGACCCAAATCACATGTGAAGTTGCTTCTCCTGGTATACACAGCATTTGCCCCTACTGTTTTTGGTTTTTAATAGCTCATTTCTCAAACACTGACAACCAAATCTGATTTTGACTTGCTATTTTGTCCTTTAGAGAAGATCCAGCTGACCCTGCTCTTATAGATGAATGCTGGCTTCCTAGCCTCAGTGATACTGCAGAATATATGGAACCTTTTCCAGCTTCATTTAAAGAACATTTTTAAATTGGTCTATTTGGGTTTTATTCTGTTCATGGTTGATTGATCTACTAGTATTATGCACATCAGAGTTAAAATGTAGTTATACCAGGTGAGTCCTACATTCTGTGACAGAGCAGATTATGAACATGAAGTAACAAGTCCTATAAACTGAGATCCCCATCCCTCAAATGTTGATTCATAGGCTTGGTGCTCCTAACATGGGGCACTGTTCATTGACTTACATGGCTAAGGAATCAAACACAAACCAAAGCCAACTGAATTGAGTCAGGTTCCCTGCGGGGAGGTTTTACAACAGTGGGTTGCAGTGAGAACCCCATCACTGGGCACTGCTCTATTGTCAACCATTTCAGGTGGAGAAGAGCTCCCAAGCATGGAAAGGATGCTCTTACCACAAGGAGCCCAGCACACAGGGGCTGTGTGTTGTTAGCCCTCTGGATCACATGGAGCAAGGGCACAGTCTGGCCATCCTTAAATCCCAGCAATTTCAAGGCAGCGGGAGCATCTTGGGAACTCAGTCAGCCAACTAAGCTTAGGTCATCCATAGTGCTGCTCTGCTGGGAGCTGGAGGGGGCTTTTGGGAATCAGAGGGGCTCCACAGGTCACAAAGACTGAGCTCTGGTTTCTTCCATCCAAGTGCAGTTACACAAAGGTGTTTTCTTTACCAATATCCTACCGATCGATCACTGACAGCGCCGATTCTCTCATTTTCTCTTGCCGTCTATGGCTACCAAGTAAAATAGTGTGGTTTAGGTATGGTGAGTTTAACCTACCCTCACTTATCAGTAAGAGAGAAAACAGTCTAGGTTATCATAACGAACAGGAAATGAAGTTGAATTTCACCTCCAAAAAAGCCAAGCTCCGACGTAAAAAAGCTAAGCTCCTCCTCGCGCCTCAAGTTTGGAGTTTGCTGCACAAATTCACTCTAAGCCAGCTAATGCCAGTTGTTAATATGCCCGTGAATTGGATCGGGAGACCTTGTTTCTATTGAAAAAGCAGTGGTTTCGTCTGGCCTGGGAGGCGCTCACGGAGATCGCCCTGCCGGCCCCGGGCACGGCGCTCCCCCCGGCCCCGGTACCGCCCGCCCCGTTCCTGGCCCCGCCCGCCCTGGTCCCGGTCCCGGCCCGTTCCCGCCTGGCCCGTTACCGGCCGCCCCGCGCCGCAGCACCGCCGCCATGTCCGGACCGCCCCGCCCCGCGGGTGTGGGCGCGGCGCCGGGGGCGGATCACGGCGAGGGGCCGCGCCCGCAGCTCGGCGCCCATTGGGCCCGCGCCGTGAGGGGAGCGCCGTGAGGGGAGCGCCGTGCCCGCCGCTGGGCGCTGCGCGGAGCTGGGGGAGCGCTGCCAAGGGGGCCAAACATATCCAGAGACATCTGCAGAGAGAGCGCTTCTGACCAAATCACACGGGATCACAGGATCGATGAGGCTGGAAAAGACTTCTGAGACCGTGGAGTGCAACCTGTGACTGAACACCACCTTGTCAGCCAGACCATGGCACTCAGTGCCACGTCCATTCTTTCCTTAAACAACTCCAGGGAAGATGACTCCACCACCTCCCCGGGCAGCCCATTCCAATGTCTGATCACCCTTCCTGAGAAGAAATTCTTCCTAATGTCCAACCTAAACCTCCCCTGGCACAGCTTAAGACTGTCGTCTTGTTCTGTCCCATGTTCCCTGGGAGCAGAGCCCGACCCCCACCTGGCTCCACTCTCCTGTCAGGGAGTAGATGAGAGCAGTAAAGTTCCCCCGAGCCTCCGTTTCTCCAGGCTGAGCCCCCCAGCTCCTTCAGCCGCTCCTCATCAGAGTTATGCCCCAGACCCTTCACCAGCTGCATTGTCCTCTGGACATGCTCCAGCACCTGGATGTCCTTCCTGAATTGAAGGGCCCAAAACTGACCCCAGGATTGAAGGTGTGGCCTCACCAGTGCTGAGTACAGGGCAAGAATCACTTCTAGTCCTGCTGGCCACGCTATTCCTGGTACGGGCCAGGATGCCATAAAGCCCCGTGCCAAAGAGATACAGCACAGTGAGCAGGCTGGCTTCTGATGCTGCATTCCTGTTGTGTCAGGTACAGCACACTGCAGGCTGCTGAGATACATCCCAAATATACAAACAGCTTGTGCCATTTCAGACCTGGTAATATGTGAATAATTAAAAATGCAGATCAAAGTCAGCAGTCAAAATGGATATTTAAAAGTCCCAATATCTGACACTTTCAAATTTCACCCCAGGCTGTAAAGTGTTGGGTGTGTTTCTGATGTGCGGAGCAGTGCAGGCACAGGTCACACTGCTGGCTGGGCCCTGCTCCACACGATGGTTTGTTGAGGGTGCAAAGGGACAGTGAGAGGACACACAGAAGTGCCATTGCAAGGCATTGTCTTCTCTGCACTGAACAGCCTTCATCTGTTGGTAAGAAGGAAACACGAAAGCAGCAGAGGCAGTACAAGTGCTGGAGTTAGAAGGTTGGTCACAGTTGCTGAAGGTGCTCAAGGGCTGCGGATGGCTGCAACCACAAGGGTAAGGGAGTGTAGGGCTTAAATTGACTTTATAAAAATAAACTTTAAGGAAGCTGTGTGATGTAACAAAGCAGTTGAAGAGCAGTTGGCAGTGCTGTGCTGATGGTGTAGGGGTGTGAGTGCATTCCTTGTTAGCCTGAGCCAGGTAACATCAGGGTTTTGCTCACAGAATGAGCTGGAAACGTGCATCCAAAATAGCCGTTGTATCTGGGTCAGAGACTCCAAACTGTGAAGTAGGATGGCTGTATTTGCTATATTTAGAACAGGTTTTCCAGTGCCGATGAGCATCTCAGTCTATGGCAACCTTGCGCCCTTCACGGGGGAAACCGACCGCCCTCGCAACCGCAACCCCTGCGGGCGGCCCAGGCGCTCCCGAGAGCCGGCCCGGGGGGCGGGAACGCCGCGGCCCGGGGGGCGGGGCGGGGCGGAGCTCCGCGGGCGGAACTGCTGTGCGCGGAACCTCGGCGGCGGTCGCGGGAGGTGCCCGGTCCGCCCGGCGGTGGCGCGGAGGGTGGGGCCGGCCCGCACGTGTCGGCGGAGCGATGGCGGCGGGGCCCGTCCCGGGTATCCCGGGCATCCAGGGCATCCAGACGGGCCTCAGGGTAACGGGAGCGGCCGCCGCGCGCCCCGAGCGCTTCCTCAGGTACGCGGCGGGGGGAAGCATTGGTAGCGCTAGAGAAAAACCCGGTGTAAAGGCCGAGGAGGGAGGCAGTCACCGCTGAGGATGAGGTTGTGGAGGAAGGCAGTCATCACTTTAAAACCAAGGCTCTGGGTCTCGGGTGTTTGAGGTGTTTAGTGCTGTGCTGTTTATTCCTGGAGCGCTTAAATGTGATCGACATATTGTAAGATGCAGCTAGAGAAGGGTGGAGTGTTCTGTGCAGCTGCTGCTTCATACACAAAGTGTAATGAAGCTGAAAGGATTAGGAATTATGTCTCTATTTCTAGGAGTGTGTAGTGGCAGTACTCCAGGAGATGTGTAGAAAGTTAAACCACCCCAGTAGTTGTTGAGAGCTGCTGTTCTGTAGCACCAGAATGCCTAAGCAGATGTGACCATGCGATAACTTCATGGAAGGTGTAAAACGAATCAGAGCTGGTAAAATCTGCAAAGTAAAAAACTAATACGAACTTGTGCTTTTAATTCTCTTTTTTCCCTTGCTCTTAGTGTGCAAGAGGGACTGGCTGCCAACTTCAGAGCATTGACAAAGACTCTCTATGATTTGAATAAAGGAAACCACATCGTGCCTGGGGGTCCTCTGAAAGAGCTGGTGATCGAAAACTTTGATGAGGAACAGATTTGGCAACAACTGGAGCTCCGGAACAGTGCAGTTCTCGATTTCTTCAGGAAATCCATTGCCAGGGATGCCAAGGATGACAATCTTTGTCTTCTCTCGGACCAGGAAGAGGATGGCTCTGATGCAGAGCCCAGCAGTGAGGAGGAATTGGAAGACAACGTAATGGAAGCAGAAGCTGAACAGAAGGATGTTTATACAAAAGATATAACTAAAGCTAAAGAAAAGCAAAGTAAACTCAGAGAAAGCATAATGCAGAAATACAGTGATGAGGATTCTGATATTGACTTTGATATTGAAGCACTGGAGCAACAAACTAAAACGGCCAAGGAAACCACATTGAAAAAAGTGGGAAGAAAATCTGTAGTGGATGACAAGTTTTTCAAGCTGGCTGAGATGGAAGCTTTTTTAGAACAGGCAGAGAAGCAAGATGATGATGAGGAAAATGATATTAATTATTTTGAAGACATTATCTCAGATGATGAGGAAGAAGAGTCAGAAGACGCTAAAGTCAAAGTAAGAATATTAGTAAAATAATTTTCTGATATCTCTTTTCTTTTAAATCAAGATCTGGTATCTGTTAGGGTGACTATAAACTGTTGAACTCCAAGTAGAAACTACCTAGTTAAGTTTGCTGAGGTGACTAATGACTCCTTCTGAAGCTTTACTTTAACAATGTATTTAACATGGATATCTGGTAAGAAAATGTCCTAGTGTGGAAGAATATAGCATTCTGTTATTCCAGTCGCTCCTTAGATGGGTCTTGGGTCTTTTGCTTAAGTAAAGGAAGAGATAGTATGTGACAAGGAATAAACTACCTTGCAGAATTGGGGACCCACAATGAAAAGGTTTGTCACTCAGCATTGGCAGCTGGCAGGTACAGATCACAAAGGAGACTGATGCAGAGCAAAGGGCTTTTTCCAGGGACACGGCTTTGTAACTCTGACATGGCTTAAGCTGATAAGTAATTGTTTGAAAAATAAATCTTTTGTTATTTAATATTACCAGAGATTCTTACTAGAAGTAAGAAACGTACCCAGGGAATTTGTGTGCATTCCAACACGTATTTGGCAAAATCTAGCACTCCTTGACTTCCATATATTCAAGTGGTAGGGTATTTTAAATACTTGTAAAAGAAATAAGTTTTACTAAGATGCCCCACCACAGGTCAGTGCTTCACTAAACTGAATTACTGTTCCACCAGTAGTGCCATTCCCCAGGCACTAAAGGCTTCAGAAGAGAGGATACCCTTTGATATCTGTCAGTCTTAACAGCTGCCATTTGTTGTTTGTTTTTTTCCTTTTCTCTCTCACCTTTTTAGCCAATTAAAAGTTCTAGAGATATGACATACAAAGATTTCTTTGATCCAGTTGATGGTGATGATGGTGACTTAGTAGGTAATGACGTTGAAGATGGTCAGGAAGAGGAAGCAGACAGTGCTATTGAAGAGCAAAATGAAGAAAGCATGTCTGAGTAAGTATTTGCATTATTTGCACTTGAAAATGTCCTCGTAATTTTACACTGAGGTGAAGCAGAAAAACCAGTGGGAATGCCAGGCTCACTTTCATGGTTTGCTATTCTCAGTTAACTGTTGTATGTGCATGGTTTGCATTATCGCTTTATTTCAGATTGGTTTGTTTACCTTTTTTTTTGGAGTATTGTCTCTTGATATTTATTTGCATAAAGCATTTAAGAGCTGTAACTTCATTTTTTTGAAATTATTTTCATTATCTAGAAGTTTCCCTAGTGTCCCCTAGCTTTAGGAGGGATCTTTGAAATGTGTTGTATTTCTGAACTGTGAGTTGTAACAGGTGAATGTCTAAGGGCTGAAATATCTTCATATAAAAAATTATAGAGGCTTTTCAACCTTTATTTGATCTTAAATTTTATTGTTACAGGTTTGAGGATATGGATGAAATGGTGGAGAATATGAGAAGTAAAGAAGCATCTAAAAAAGTTACTTTTAGTTTGCCAGATGACAGTGACACAGAAGATGTGACTGAAATGCAATTAGAGAAGGGCATTGAGCCCAGTGAAACAAAGTCATCTTTTGAGAAGAGGCAGGAGAAGGTAACTGTGTGTCAGTTTTCATTGGGGTTTTTTATTTTTATTTTAATTTTGCTAATATTTCAAAACAATGGCAAATATTTTTCTTACTGGTTGTGTAATTTGTTCTGGCATGTATGGAGAGGGTATTTACAATGTCAGAAAAAAAATACGGCTTATCTACATCAGATATATATGCAATCATATGTTCCCTCTTTTTTATATGAGGAGGGGTTAGAAGGACCTGAAATAAGTATTAATTTCTTGCCTTGAATTTATTAGTGAGCTCTGTTTTAAACTTCTTAGGAAATTGTGTTTTTCAGATGAGCAAGAAAATAAAAACT